GTTTTCAAAAATTTAATTAACTTACCTCTCATGCCTTGGCTAAGATTGGCCCCAACGTAGACTTTCTTATCAGGCCATTGAGCAAATAACACAATAGGCTCTAATTCCTCTATTGTTGTTTTGATATTTTCATTCTCTTATGGTTCTTGAATGGTATCAAGCCTTGAATCTACATCTGTTTGCCCCTGTTCAGTTGAGGTTTGTGTTGTGGTGTCCTCAACTACCTTCTGTGATTGCTATTTTTCTTCATTTCTCGTGCTTGTATCTGCAACAGAGTTGATAGTCCTGGATGTATGTTGATCTCCATGAATTTGACAAGTTCCCCATGGCGACGGAAATTTGATAACTTGATGCAAGGTTGAAGGAACTGCATCCATCTCGTGGATCCATGGTCTCCAAAGGATCATGTTGTAAGCCATCTCCATATCTACTACCTGGAACTTTGTATCTTTGTCGACTCCTTCAGCGAATGTGGTGAGTGTTACTTCTCCTTTCGTCACAACACTAGAATTATCAAATCCAGATAGAGTAAGCGCCTTTGGTATTACTTTATCTTCAGCTTTCATCTCATGCAATACTTTTAGCAAAATAATGTTCACAGAACTACCTGGATCAATCAAGACTCGTTTTACATTAGTATCATATACAATTAGAGATATTACCAGTGCATCGTTATGAGGGGTTAACACGCCATCTGCGTTTGCATCACTGAATGTAATGGTGTCTTCCTCTAAGTTATGCCGCACCTGTTTCTTTTGGGTAATTGCAACTTTGGAAATTTTGTTAGCTGCAGCATTGATATACCATTGATGTCTTCACCCCCACTTATAACGTTGACAGTTCTTTTAGGGGAAGGTGGTTTTGGAGGTTTCTGCCTATTCTTCATGTAAGTTTGCTTACCTTTCTCACTGAACAACTCAGTAAGATATTCTGATTTCAATAAATGATCAACTTTACTTTGTAAAAATCTGCAGTCTGTTGTTTTATGCCCGTGGTCATTATGAAACTCGCACCAATGATCAGGGTTGCGCCTGTTTGGATTCGATCTCATTTTTTTGGCCATCGAACCTTATCACCCATGCTTCTCAAAACAGCTACGAGCTCGGAGGTGTTGATATTAAAATTGTAACCACCGAATCTTGCTTTTAAGTTTTTATCATCATCTCGTGACTCATAGTTGTTTCGATCGTTCCTAAATCTTGATGAAGAACCTGATTCTCTATTCCTTGATCTGTGATCATACCTTTGATTGTCCTGATTTAACCGTGAGTATTTTCCCGCAAGTCCCATATACGGCTCGTACCTGTTTTTACCAGATATTTTTTCAGTCTCCGCACGTCTCGAACTTACCTTTTCTTCTTTTTGAAATCGCGGAACAGTATCTTCTTCGATCCTCAGCTTTGTGCTATACCTGCTATAAACATCATTCCACGTTGTAGCTGGGAATTCACGAAGGCTTTCCTTGAGTCTCCTTGTAACTTCCGAGCTTTTCTCATTCAAGTTGCTTGTGAAAGCTATAACTTCCCAATTATTAGGTACACGAGGTAAGGTCATTCCTTCACGTTGGAACCTGTCCACGAATTCTCTAAGCAATTCTGAATCCCTTTGCTTGATCTTGAAAATATCTTCCATTCGTTTTTCGACTTTTTGAGCTCCCGAATGTGCTTTAATGAAAGAATCTGCAAGCTCAGCCAAAGAGTTTATAGAATTTTTGGGTAAAAGAGAATAGCATGTTAATGCACCCTTAGTGAGTGTTTCACCGAATTTTTTGACTAATACTGATTCAATCTCCTGCTTAGTCAAATCATTGCCTTTTACGCCTATTGTGAATGCAGTCACGTGATCTCGTGGGTCTGTTGTTCCATCGTATTTTGGAATATCAGGCATTTTGAATTTCTTTGGAATTGGAAGGGGAGCAGCATTTGGCTTCCAAGGTTGTTGAAAATATTTATCCATATCTACTCCTTTGATTACGGGCGGCGCCCCGGGTATTTGCTCTATGCGGTCACTTTGCTCCTTGAGCTGTTTCTGCAATGTTAGTACTAAAGTTTGCAAATCTGAATTAACTAAATAACCTGGTTCTCCCTCTTGCGATTCACTGGGGGTTCCACCACTACCTGAATTAACAAGCCCGCAATGAGGGTTCTCCAGAGTGTTGTTATTTTGGAGTAGGTGTGGGTGGTGCAGCAGGTAACTGGCTAACCAAGGCCTGAATGGCTTTATTGACCTGTGCGGTAATAAATTTTTGCAAAGCCTCATCCATAGCTTCAANGATAACCAAGGCCTGAACGGCTTTATTGACCTGTGCGGTAATAAGTTTTTGCAAAGCCTCATCCATAGCTTCAACATTTTCGAATTGAGCCTGTCCATCTGTATGAGATCCATCAGGAGTGCCTTCACGAGATCGCCGAGGAGAGCCTCGTGGAGAAATAATCAGTGCGTTATTATCCTGAGGATCTCTCTGAAGTTGTTGGTTTGTTTGGTTTTCTTGGTTTCCTTGAATGTTGTCATTGTTGTTCGACATAGTTGATGCAACAAGGAAAGTTAAGCAAAAAGAAAATAGATTATCAGAGTCCCGGTAACGGAACCAATTTGTTTAACCAAAAAATAGAATTTTAGTCAAAGCTAGAATTTAGAAGAACACGGGTTACTGATAATCGAAAGAATATGTAAAAGAGAGTAATTTGGGTAGCAAGAATATAATCAGGAGAAAAACAAGTAAACCAAAGTATATTCCAATAGTGTTTCGTGTCCCTACAATTGATCAATTATCTCTCTTTTATAGCTATTTGGGAGATATGCATTTTGCCCTTGTCTTAATAAGGCTATTATGAGTAATTAAAGACATTGAATGTTATGTTATACAATCATTGTATTTAATACAGATTCTCTAACGTATTCAGTATTTAATGCTCATTAAATACTGTATCTGTACTCTCATATATTGTCTGATTCATTCCCTTTGATTCCCTTACCTAAATGACTTAAATAGATACGGGCGCCGAGTCCTTTGAGTATTTACCTGTGTCTCTTCCTTTGACTATGCTCGTATCTGTTGCAACTCGTGTCTCTTTGCCAATTATAACTCTGTGACTAGTAAGGCACGTCATTCTTATTCCACTTTAATATGTAAATTCAATTTTTCCCAATACAGTTATTACTTAATAATGAAACATCATTTTATGTAACAGTTATTTGGTATGGTGAGATCGTTATGTTATTTCTCTTTTGCATTTACTTATTTCCTAATGGAGTACTATTTTACCCTTTATTCTACTTTTCTATTTAATTTCACCCTATACCTTATAAGACATCTATACCTCATATTTTTTTGTTCGTTTGCCGCTACCTTTTTCTTTCTATCCATTTAGTCATTCTCAATTTCTTATGAATATTCTCCATTTGAAAGAATATGCGGAGGGATAAGCGTTGATAATATCACATAATGGTGCGGAACCAAGTCTAGCCTCACCTTTAGTTTGCAGTTCAATTATTGTATCTTGTAAAGCGTTAGAGATATGGTGTCATTTAATCCTTGTACTCCATATATAAGTAACACTTGTTAATGTGTTTGAATTTATGTCTTAGTTTACAATACTGTAAAAACTTGAAAATAAAGTAAGTTTATAACGCAAATTGGAATATGTAACTTTTATTGTGAAAACCATCAACAAACCAAAAACTTGAAAATTCAAAAACAATCAAACACAAAAAATAAAATTGGCCAAAAAATTATTCACCTTCTTTCCGTTCCAATGATTTTTTGTTAAATTTTTATTTTGCTGAAATATACCAGGGGCGTGCGCATAATTTTTTGAAAGTGGTGTCATCATTTAAAAAATAAATACCGTAGTGACATGAAAAGAAAAAAAAGTTGAAGAGTAACACCAGCAAATCCGCCCACTCATAAGTTGTAAATAATAGAGAAAGAAGAGCAAGTTTATTTGTTAAAATTATAGTTCTAAATCCGTTTAAGTTATACTGCAATAAGTGCATGTTATATTTGTTAATTTTTTATCACTTTGATTAATGCGTGACGAATTTAGTGTATTGGTTTAACCAATGTTTTTAGCTTAAAGGACAGAGTTCGATCCCAACAGAATTCGACCCCCCACCCTTGTGTGAAAGTGGATGCGCTGCCCATCAGACCAGGTAAGATTGTTTGTCCAACTACCGCTGAGTCCGCCCCTGAAATATAGTACTATAGTTGGAGTAATAGTTATAGAAACTAGTGAAGTCAAAGTCGTCTTTTAGAGCAAGTTTAACATATATTGCCGATTCTGCAAGTGTATGAAGTCTATATGTATAAGTCTCTGGCAACCATTCTGTTTAATTATAATACTCCTATTATTGATGATATTGTCGACCAAACACACATGTCTAGGCCATTATCACACGGAAAACATTTATTAATGTTGGAATTAACGTAGATTCTTCTTGTTTGCTGTAACTAGAAAAAAACTTACTCCCTCCGTTCACTTTTACTTGGCACGTTTTGACTTTTCACGCCCTTAAGAAGTAATAAATGAAGTGCATAATTTACCATGATACTCATATTAATTGATGCATATTTTATTGGATTTGAAAAAAATGATTTGAAATGGGTAATAAATACGATGAGTGTAAGAGAATTTTTTTTTTGTCTTTTCTTAATATGCGTGAAATGATAAGTAAAAATAAAAATCTATTTTTAATAGACATACCGCCAAGTTAAAGCAAATGGAGCTGGGAGTAATCCCAATTGTCAGTTTAAAGATTAAGATATTGAAAGAGATGAATGCGGAACATGTAGATATAATAAAATATGTTTTGTTGCTCCTTGATTATTTACCATCTTCCATTTCCAAATTGTAGAAGAACCTTGGAGCAATGGTAAAGTTATCTCCGTTTGATCTATAAGTCATGGGTTCGAGCTGTGGAAGCAGCCACTAATGTTTGCATTAATGGAGGCCGTTTATATCACATTCTAGAAATGCGACACTTTCCCGGACCTTACGTAAATGCGGGATGTTTTATGCACCGAGCTGCCCTTTCCATTTTCAAACTCCAACGCCGATGTATATAACTGTAAGAGGAGGACCTGCTAGTAGCTCACAGAAAGAGAGCTAAAATGGCCGCGTCTAGGATTCTTTCTCTATCTCAAAAGATCATTAAGCCTCTTTCCCTACTCCTTCTTCACTTAAACGACACAATCTCTCTTTCCTTGATCAAATCTCACTTTTTATATATGCACCAATTGCCGCTTTCTACTCTAAACCTGCAAATAACAACATAAATCAGATTCTTGAAAACTCCCTTTCAAAAGTATTATCTTCTTATTATCCCTTTGCCGGAAGAATAAAGGATAATAAATACGTTGATTGCAATGATGTGGGCGTTCGGTATTCAAACGTTCGAGTCAATTGTCCAATGTCTGAAATTCTCAACCACCCTTATAATGATGCTACAGATATAGTCTTCCCACAAGATTTGCCTTGGAGTAGTTCCTTTGACCAAACTCCACTAGTATAGTGGTTCAATTAAGTCATTTCGATTGTGGTGGAATAGCAATCAGTATATGTATATCGCACAAGATTGCTGATGGCTATAGTCTATCGAAGTTCCTTAATGATTGGGCTGCTACAAATCGAGAGTTGGATTTCGAACCATCTACTCAGTTTGATGCAGCTTCGTTTTTCCCACCGATGGATGATCCTCCAGTAATACCTGATGTTGTACGTGAACAATGCGTGTCAAGAATGTTCAATATTTCATCTTATAGTTTGGGCAAACTCAAGGATATCGTTTCAACTAATTCAGGAATCCAACTCGCATTGAAGTTGCTACAGCACTTATTCATAAATGTGGATAGCAGTATCTATGGCGAATTTATGCTTGTTCAGACCATCTTTAGTGACGAATTTACACCCGCATTTGCCCCTACACACCATTGGAAATGCTTATTGTTTCCTTAACTCAGCAACAACGACAGAAGATGAGATAGAACTGGCCCACGTCGTTGCTCAACTACGCAAGGCTAAACAACATCAACGCGACAAATTGAAGGATATGAGTCCAGATAAGATAGCCTTACACGCGCTTGAATCAATCAATGTGGGTGTTAACATAATTTTAGAGAGGAATTATGATCCTTATATGTACAGCAGCTTGTGCAATAAAGGATTATATAAGACTGATTTTGGATGGGGTAAGCCCATAAGTGTGACATTAGCGAGAAGTCCAATGAAAAACAACATTGTTTTCTTGGATGATCCAAGTGGAGAAGGGATAAATGCACTAATCACTTTGACAGAAGCTGATATGTTGATATTTCAGAGTAACAAAGAGCTCCTAGAATTTGCTTCTCCAGTTGCTTACTCACCGGAACGTGGTCCTTCCTCAAACCCTACATGAACGCGAGATATCTTGTACATTATACTGCCCTTTTAATTGTTTACTCATCGGAATAAGCTAAAAACCATCTTGCCAAGCTATTACTTGTGTAATCTTCATATCCTCAAGTTATTCTTATTAGGCAAAAAGGTCTCCTGAATACTTAAACTTGTACCTTATTATTATGCCGGTAAATGAACTTTCAAAATTTTCCTATGAACACTTCAACTTGAGCATAAGTGAATTAATAAACACCTCCGACCTATGACTCAATCTACCGCGTGCATTACAATTTTACAAACGTAGCAACCCAGTCAGCAATAAACAAATAAAAACCTTCCACATGTTAGGCGTGAAAACCCACTAAGCACCGGCTATTTCCCATTCATTTTTGCCCTAAAACACTAATTTCATTTTCATTTCAGTCGTCTTTCTCAATTCCCTTCTAACATTTTCAATCATCTGCTCAAAATGGAGTGAACGATTGAGCATAAGGATTCTATTATATCATCTGAAGGTTTTGTTTATGCCTTTTTCTTTCAAAATCGGTTCCAAAACAAGAATCTGAGATAATCGTGTACCGTCGATTTTTCCTCCACCAGAAACATAGAAGTCATTAAAGGACCGATTGTCGTTGTCTTTCATGAAATTTCTGGTTGTTTTCTTGTATTTTTATTCGTCATTGAAGTTGGTCATGATAGAATAATGTTTTGTATGCATGCAATGGTTCTTTCGTTATTTAGGGTCTAAAATTAAGGCTTTTTGGAATAACATACTAAATTCTTATTTTTTTTCTCTGGATTTTATCGGTTTCATCTCTGATTTGGAATATAGGGTTAAAAAATTAGGGCTTTTTATCATATCGAAAATTTTTGTCTCTTAAAGTGATAAAGTTAGGGTTCTTTTCCCTCATTTGCTTGTTGTTTTTCAAACAATATTGTCTCTTCCTTTTAAATATTTTACTGATTTGGACTTATCTTATCTTACTTTTANGAGTAGTCTACTTCCCTTTGAATGATAAATCCCTTAACTCTTAATAATTAAAGGAATACCTTGGAACCCATAAGGGATTTACTTGTCTATATATTGTTCCATTCGATCTTTTAGGTCCCGACTTCACCTCGATGGTTAGGCCACCACGCCCTTAAAGTCTATACGCGATAGATAGACTCCTAGAACCATGACATATTTGCTTACTTGAACATAATTTCTTTCCACGAAAAGAAAGGAAATGTTTCATTCTACAAAATAAAAAGCTTTTTTTACGAGGTACAAATAGAAATTCCTCTTTATTTGATTTGTTACGAAGGCATAGTGAGGCAGGATGGTTGTTCTTGTGAAATTACAATTTCACCATCAGGCACAACTAGTAGCTGGCCCATTAATGAGGTATGAAAATGGTATAACATGGCTTACTATTGTAACTGCTAACACTGATGAATTGCATATTATTCAATTCAACAAATGGGCAAATGAATGGGGTACTTAGATGTGGAGAAATTTGCATGTCAAATCAATAAAAAAGGACCATTTCGATTTATTAAGTATGATGCTGATGTGTTAGAATTCTGCAAAGACCTTCATGATGGGGATTTTATTGATGTTTATTTATGTCACACTGTTAATATACTATGTGTTGATATTGAATTGGATGAAATGTTAAGTAATGGTGTGGACCCTAGTGATATCCCATATGACCAAACAGTTGGCTTTAATGAAGTGCTACAAGGGCAAACAAGTAAAGTTAATGCTAGGGCAAAAAACTCACCTACCAATAATATAAATAGTGGTTGTTTCACTGAGGGGAAGGGTAAAGGGGGGGCTGCTGATATAGAAGATTCTACTAAGGATGAAGGGGAGTTCTACAACTTTCATCTAGCCACAGATTCAGATTGTGATGTATTTGAGAGTAATTCTGAGAGTGAGGATGGTGAATATGAGGGTGTTTCTACTTAAGAGGATATATATGACTCACTTTATGATGCCGACGAGGATGTTGTTGGAGAGACAAGTGATATAGAAGCTAACCTTGTTGTTGCTAGACAGACCAAAGTAAATTAGAAGAACTGGAAAGAGAGATCTAGTGATATTAATGTAGATGAGCTACCTAGTGGCCCTGTTAGCATTGACCCAGAATTTGAAGACATTTACAAGGACAAGACTGCTAAATATTCTAACAAATTAGGAGAGGATGAGCAGTACCTAGACAGTTTAGATCCAGGGAGTGAGGATAGTACTGATGATGATGTAGATGCAAATGATTAGGTGCATAACCTTCCTCCAAGAAGATACAGTGGAAAGGTCTACTTTGACTCTAACTGTAAGAAAATTATTTTTCAACTGGGAATGGTCTTTGAAAATGTTAGACAATTTAGATTTTCTTTACAAAATTATGTTGTACACAGGAGAGTTCAGTTAAAGTTGAAAACAAGTGAAAGGAATAGAGTCAGGGCGATATGTTTGAACTCTAGTAGATGTAGATGGCATATTTTAGGCAGTTTACAGGGCCACACACAACACTTCATTGTCAACACATACTACCCTGTCCATTTATGCTTCCCAGTCATAAAGAATAAGCTTGCTAACACAACTTGGATAGTTAAACATTACAAAGATAAGATCATTAATCAGTCTGACATAAAGCTCAAGAAATTGCAAGAGTTGATAAGGATTAAGTATGGTGTGTATGTAGGAAAAACAATATGTGTCAGGGCTAGACAGAAGGTAATAGGTAAGTATTTAGGTTATTACAAAATAGAGTTTGCTAGGATTTATGATTATACTGACATGATAAGAACTACTAACATAGGCAGCACTATTGTGGTGAGGACTTTAAAAGAAATAGAACTTGGTAAAGAGGTCTTTGTGAGGATATACATTTGTTTACATACTTTGAAAACTGGTTGGTTAGAAGGGTGTAGAGATGTAATTAGATTTGATGGTGCATTTCTGAAGGGAGTATGTAAAAGTGAGTTATTGTCATGCATTGCTAAAGATGGTAATAACCAAATGTATCATGTTGCTTGGGCAGTGGTTGAGAAAGAGACCAAGAACAGTTGGTCTTGATTTTTTAGGTGTCTAATGAAGGACTTGAAACTAATAGAATCTGAAGGTGAAGGACTAACAATTATGTCTGATATGCAGAATGTATGTGTATTGTTTTATTCTTTTTTTTTTACTTTAATATTTAAGATTGCATTGAATGAACTCTAACAGTGTATTTTTGTTGTTCAAGGGACTTGTTCAAGCTGTATCTGAATTGATGCCAAATGCTAAGCATAAAATGTGTGTAAGGCATATATGGAGCAACTGGAAGAAAATTTGGAGTGGTGAGGAAAGAAGGAAGAAGTTCTGGGGTTGTGCAAGAGCTTCATTTGTAGCATTTCTGAAGGTTAAACTAGATGAGTTGGCAGAATTGGGTGGCAGTAAGATAATAGAAGACTTGCTTAGATATCTCAAACAGTCATGGTGCAGGGCCTTTTTTAAAGACTGTAGTAAGTGTGATGTTATGGAGAATAACATGTGTGAGACCTTCAACAGTTGGATACTTACTTCTAGGAACAATTTAATCATAACCATATTGGAAGAGATCAGAATGAAGGTAATGGAGATGATGACTAATATGAGAGAATTTGCTACAAAGTGAAATTTTGATATATCTCCTATGGCAATAGGGTACATTGAAGAGCAATCTATGAGAGCCACCAAGCATGAATATAAATGGAATGGGGACACTGGATTTGAGATCTAAGATGGAATTTGCAAACACATAGTTGATTTTGTAAAGAAAGAGTGCACATGTAGAATGTGGCAGCTGAAAGGCATACCCTGCTCCCATATACTTTGTGCAATTTTTTTAAAAGGTATGACACTGCTAATTATGTTGAGCATTGGTATAAGAAGGAAACGTATCTCAAGGCATTCAATTGTTATATTCAACTTATGACCAACATGGAGATATAACCTCCAACTCAAAATCCCAAAGTTGAGTCTCCTATAATTACTAAGATGTCTGGTAGACCTAAGAAACATAGAAGAAAGGCTCAAGATGAGCCTACAAAGAAATTTAGTAAGAGATCAAGAAAGGGGACACCAATGACATGTTCTCATTGCAAGACAATAGGTCATAACAAGAAAGGCTGTGCAATCCTGGTAAGAATCAAATACTTCTTATGCTTTAAGTGTTTTTAGTCTTTTGCGGAATTTTTATATTCTAGGTGTTTTAGAAAGGGCAAAGTTCAACTGTTGGTGCTGAGAGTAGTACTGCAAATGCCCAGGCTACAACAGCTGCATCAGGAGGTCATTCTGGTACTATTGCTGGTGGTGGATCTGCAGCACAACAATCTGCTACTATTGCAACACCAAGAAATTTTGGAACTACTGCTGATGGTGGATCAGGAACACAACAATCTAGAACTACAAAAGAAAGATCAAGGACTCCTCGACAAATTCTTAGAACTTTAGGTGGAAGGCCTAGGACTGCTGTATTTGGAATACTATTTGGTGAATCAGGGACAGTCATAGAGAGGGTAAGTATGTAAAATTTTGTCCAATTGTTGTGTCTAATTACTATACTAAGTTCTAAAATTATATTTCTATTTGAATGTAGTTTGGTTTAAGGGACAGAGTCGCACATGATCCTAGGCAAACAATTGATGCTAACCAGATTAATATTAATCTTGGATATAGAGTACCTGGACTAAGGTGGAAAGGAACAAATACAGTAATACAAAGGCAGCTTCAACTAGGGCTGTGCATGGATNATTTCGGATTCCAAAAATTGCAATCCGAATCCGATCCGAATTATATCGGATTGGATCGGATTTTTAAATTTCGGATCGGTTTGGTGATCGGATTTTCGGATCGGATTGTACGTATTATTAAGGAGTGTGTATAACTGTATATGGATAATGGATATTACATAATACAATAGCATTTAAAAGACCAAAAATAGCAAACAAATGACTATAAATTACAGCACCTCAAGATTTTAATTTTGGCTTCATTCCAATTAATAAATG